AATTTGGCAATTTTTGGTAATTTTGGGTAATTTGGGTGTTTTCAAAAGGTTTGAAATAATTTTTGAACAAATTTGGGTATTTTGGGTAAATTTGAGAATTTTTGCCAAATTTAAGGTTTCAATGGTACTTAGGTAATTTGGGAGAGTTTAGGGGAAAAAGGCTAAGTTGGATATTTTGGTAGAGTTAGGTGCCAACCACCATAAATAAGCCATGGACTAATAGAAACCCCATTTGGGTCCTCTATGTACTAGTCTGGGTCCTCTATGAAACCCCATTTGGGTCCTCTATGTACTAGTCTTAGCTAGACCCTAAACTAGGGCCAGAGGGTTTAAGGGATCATCTACATGAGCCTCCCAAAGGATTAAAGGATCAAAGTCAAGGTTTAGGGTATTAAGTGATTGTGAGCGAGGTAATTGTAGTGAGTGCTTTAGCTCTAGACCAACACCCAGGGCCAACCCTAAGTTCCAACAGTCCTATAGGAACTCTTCTTGGGCTCCCCAATAGTGACCCCGCCTACTAAGTGCTAGAGGTTATGACCAATATGTAGAACTTCAAGATGAGTAAAGAGAAGTTTAGAATTTTTAGAATTTCTAATGGTGAGAATTTCTAATGGTGAGGGTTCTTTTTTAGTTTTCTAGGAATAATCAACAAAAAAGTCCTATGGCTAGACCCTAGACTACTAAAGAGGAAAAACTAAACCTCAACCAAAAGTGAGGTCAACAGTTATCATGAGTTACAAAAATAAATATCATAAGTTATGACATAAGTTATGAGTTAAGAAAATTATTAACTTAAGTTATCATAAGTTGTCATAAGTTATGAGTTAAGAAAATAAATAACTTAAGTTATCAAAATAAATATCATAAGTTATCATAATTTATGATATAAATTATTAGTTAAGAAAATAAATAACTTAAGTTATCAAAATAAATATCATAAGTTATCATAATTTATGATATAAATTATTAGTTAAGAAAATAAATAACTTAAGTTATCAAAATAAATATCATAAGTTATCATAATTTATGATATAAATTATTAGTTAAGAAAATAAATAACTTAAGTTATCAAAATTAAGTATGAAATTAATATGAATCATGGCGGTTGTACATCAATTTATCGACACAATCCCTTCCATATACCACAATATCAATTACATACTCAGCATAATAAAAATTAACATCATGGTCCCATAATGTCTATTAAAAGAAAAATCATGTTAAACATTATATAACATAAAGTGTACACTAACGATAAAAACAAAATTTATAAATATCAGAAACAAGAAAAATTGGGCCCAAAATGTCAAAATATAAAGAACATAAAACTAATCCAGTACAACCCCCCCTAAAGCAAAAATATAATATCACGAGAGTATACCCTCTTCTTTAAAAATAGGGGAAATATTTAATGAATAAGAAAAGTTCAATACAACCGATTACTATTTAATGCTATTCGCTTCCTCCCACCCTCCCTCCTTACTAACGCTCTATTTCTTTTATGTGATTCATTGACAAATCAAGATTCAACAAAAATATCCTTCTACACAATGGTATTGGTGAGGAAGATTAGTCACCTTTTTTTTTTTTTTGGCCTTGAGCTTTTCGTGTTCTCGATACAATGAAGATACAATGAACTTGTTCTTCTGAATGCATGAGTGAGTGAAGATGACAAAAGCAAGGAAGGATGGGTGAGAGGTCAAAGGAAGCCATACTGATCCAATTGCTTTGTTGCCTTGCTTTCAACTTCCCCTACTTTTAGGGCTGTCAAAACGGCTCGTTGTTCACGAACAGCTTGTGTTCAGCTCGAAAAACTACGCATTAATTATATATATA